GTATTAAAATAAATTGGCGGGGCATCCAGCCCGATGTAGTATTTTTACAAGAGTTTTAGCAAAGATGTCCTGCATCACCCCGAAATGCCGTCAAAAGTAAAAATAGAAATCACGTCTTGGCTGGTCTACTAACTGTACATATAATTTGAAAAATATTAAACATTTATATCAACCAATCTACACTGCTGGTTGGCTCCATGTATAGTTTGCAAGATTATGCGCAGCAGCATATTATGAACTTGAAAACAGAGGCATGTACTCAGAGTACATGAGGTCGATCTTGCTTTTTATCATCATCCACTCATGACAATCTCACGTCTAACAATCCACAAAACTGCTTATTCATACAATTGAACTTGCTAAGACTGACCTCGTGACCTCGTGATATCTAGAGGTTCATCGCGAGCAAGCCGCAGGTATAATCTTACCTCTTTTTGTTCCGAGACTCCAGTCCCTCCATTTGGAATAAATTTTCTTTGCTTTTAGATCCCATGATCTCACCATACGACCGGGTTTGGAGAGATACAATCGAGGTACTGGCTACTGCGTGTTTTAATCAACTTTTGATCTGCCAAGTGCAGCTATATTATAGGCCTCTACCATCAGCTTCGGTCTACATTCCACACTGGACCAAACATCTACCGGCCAAGTTTACCAAGATTTTCGTCCGACAATTATGATTGAAAAAATGATAGGCGATCCGTCTATCTATAAAGAGACATTGTGGAAAATTATTAGTTCGCTAAATGTGGACTACAATCATCCCGTGTTTCTCAGTATTCTTCTGCGCATGTGACGAACATGATATGGCGCTAGATGTTTTCCGAAGTGTTACGAGCAACTGTCCGGAAGGGAAAGTGATCGAAGAGGATTATAATACTTTATAGTTCCAGTCTACAATGAGCTTTTCTGGGTGTTATATCCTAAAGATAAACATTAGCATTGTGGAGCCTGCATAACTTATATATTGACATGGCTGTTTGAATGTTACGTAACGTAAGACGAAAACAAGACAAGGGATAGACCGAGTGTTGCAGAATCAAAATATTTTAATCCTAATTATATCCACCAATAGGCCATTTTCGTAATGTAACCAAATTTAATGCATAGGTCTTTGTGAAGTGCCTCAATACAAATTATTTCATTCACCTGATAAGCATATAATATTATTCAATCGACAGAATCCGAACTGCATACATTAATTTTTGCCAAGTAAGACAAACATTATGGCTTGACCTACCTAGCAACACTTAAAGATTTTTTTTTTTGGAGAGGGGGCGTTTCCAAAACTGGTATTTACTCTTAATATATGCAGTTTGCATTCTAACTATCGACATACTATTATTATTATCAACTGAATGAAATAATTTGAACTTATCAGACCCCCCCCCCCCGCCCCCCACCCGGAAAATTAACCCCCGAGGACAATTACCCCCCCCCCCCCCCAGATAATTAGCATTGTAGACCCTGCATGACGTACATGGTTGTTTAAACGTTATGTAACTTAAGGCGCAAACAAGACAAGTGATTTTAGACACCACAAAGACTGAGTGGACACCAATACCGTGACCACTAAAGAGGCCTTCGTGCACCCCAACTTTTGTTTGGGATACCCCTGCTTTTGTTGAGAGTCACCCGACTCGGAAAACTTTAAAGGAAATACAAAGTTTTGGGAAATTTTGAAAATTGGGTGGATAGTGATTCTATACAATTTTGATATATTTGGAAGTCCCTGTGGATGTATTATAAGCACTAGAAAATTTATCCCCTAAACTACTTCTGCTTTCGAGAAAAATTGAATATAAAAATTAACCGGTGCTCCCGGTAAATTTTGATAAATTTCAAATAGCGCCTACGTCCGTACAATGGTAGCTGCGACCATGAAAATCTCAGAATTTGTAGTTGTGATATATAATTTCCGAACAGGAACAACTAATCGGTAGATTTTAGTCAAGAAACATTGTTTTATAGCTTAATTTATATCTTGACCTTGAGAGGGAGCTATACAACATAAAGAGTTTATTATTTACAATTTCATAACTTTAGACTCGATTTCAACCGCGAGAACGATCACTGAATAATGTGGGACCGCATGCGTCCAATATGTTCATTTGAACCAAATTAATGACCCCATACCAAAACTTTGTATTACCTTTAATCTCTGAAAACTGCAAAGGTTTCAGTGAATGGTGAGCCTTTATACAGGCGCGCCGGAAGCAGTTTGGGATTGGGGGGGGGGGCAAACCTTCCAGGGAGCTCACCTTCCAGGGGCAGCGGCGTAATGAGCAAAAACGTTTGGAAGGGGGGGGCAGAAGAAAAATCTGCATCACCACCACTCTTACACGGTACATGCAGGCCCCGCGGAACGTTTTTCAAAGTGGAGTATTAACGGTCAGGTAGAGTGTAAATTGGTGTGGGGGTCGAGCCCCCCGAGCCCCCCGTTCTGCAGGCCCTGACATGAAGGCTTCTAAATAAGGCTTCTAAGTTTTTCGCTCGACTGTAAATTTGGGAATTTCTAATTTTCCAACAAACGCATAAAAAGGTATGACTAAAATGAAAAAAAAATACCGGAAAATCATGTCATTTCAGCAACATTAATTTGTAAATCACTGGTATCGAATAAGAAATACCCCCCCCCCCCCCACCCGCAAGCGTTCAGGGGTTCATATCTTCTCACCCCTACAACAAAAAACACACACGCTTTCTCATCCTCTCACAATATTTCCACGATATGCGCGTATCGCTATTATAAAAACCTCCATTGATAAATATAGGTGGCATGCGGAATGTTTAGAAAATGTAATTCCTGTTAACTTGCCTTTTCTTTGAATGTACTTTTTATATGTGATTTCATTCAGGTTTTCATTATTGTTATGTTCCAAACCAGTTTGGGGGAGCCAAAATGCCATTTGCCCCCCTGCCCCCCCCCCCCCCACTTCCGGCGCCTATGCCTGTATTATATAGACCCTACTCATCATAGGGTGATCACACTGCCTGTGCAAACAGTCTGCCCCGCGAACACACACACACAACAGCAGTCAGTTGGTAGAAATAGCAATTTTTGTAAGTGTAGTTTAATTGTTATAGACATGTGGGAAATATGTTAATTATTGAATTAAAATATTGTCTTTTCAGCCATGTGTGACATGGCCCGCTGATCGCCCATTGACTCGCGCTGCTATTCTGCGTGGTGAAAAAAATGCACCTCAATGTATAAAATTTCCCTACAAAAATGCAATATCCTCATGTGTTTCACTCATTGAATTCATTTGTTATTTACACTCAAGGTAGCCACAATTATACTGGGGTCACTAAAGTTTTTTCCACTCTGAAATTCAGTCCCTGTGGAATGTTATGGCCTGTTGAATGGTATCTCGGAAGATCGTCATAAATCCTTAAATCTGACATCTTTGAAAAAGGCAAATATACTGTGATGTAGCTGAAAGTCTACAAATTTGTATTATATGATCAGTTTTTCTGAATTATTTGTGACACACATGAGGAAATAGCTGTGACGGTGATCCAAGTAATGTCCATCGCCATATTGTATTGGCATTGCAAAAATATTAGGAATTTAAGGCAGGGGCGGATCCACGTAGCGATTATTCCGGCCCGCCCCCCCCCCCCTAGCCCCCCAAAACGATAAAAAAAAACAGGATAATAGCGTAAAGTTAACCTTTATAAAACAAAAAACAAAAGCCCCCCCCCCCCCGCTTATTCGTCGGCCAGCTGAGTCGGCACTAAATTGGCTACCCCACCCCCCCCCCTTGACGCCGTCTGGATCCTCTGCAGGCTCGGATCCACGGGGGGGGGGGGGGGGGCTGACGGGTCAACAACAAAAAAGATTTTTTTTTTTTAAATCTCACGAATTGGGTGAAAAAAACAAAAATAGTGGTCTCACCCCCCCCCCCCCCCCCCGCTTATTCACCGACTGACTGAGTCGGCGCAAAATATTTCCTGAAAAATTGGACCAAAAAAAGTGCCTCTTACCCCCCCCCCCCCCCCCCCCCCCCCCGGTGGCTGAGTCGCAACTAATATTTTGTCACTGATTGGGCCCCCCCCCCCCCTCTTCCCGCCGGCTGGATCCGCCACTGATTTAAGGTAAATATTTGGTGTAAATATGATCTATGAATATATGATTTAAAAAATGCCCCCAAAATGAACAGTTTGACTTTCCTAATTTGAATAATGAGTGCGCGAATATATAATTAGCTGAAATGACCTAATTTGCATATTTGATGAATAGTCATGATTTTATTTTATTACAAATGAAATATATTTCCATACCTGTCTGATATACATAGGTTTCACTGATGTATCATGTTCGGTTTTGATTTGATTACATGCGCATATTAATTTGGCGGACTTAGTTATTTTCACAACTTTTTTATATCTGCAGATTCGCTAAAATGGCAAAAATGACTTATTTTGTTGGCTTCTATTTTGAAAACGGTAATAGATATATGAATTTTCTTTTTTGTATTTTTTACCACAAAGATGATATTTTAGTGTCTGATAATTTAATTTATTATTTGTGTCCAAGAAAGTGATGAATTAAGTTGTCAACTTTGTCGAATATGCCATTTTTGACAATTTGACCATTTCTGGCAGGTAATTTTTCGGTAATTTTGCGATATCAAAAAAATGGTATAAAATCACAACGCATTGACCGATTTTAAATTCTGTTTTTTGTTTTTTGAAGCTTTCATAAAGCTCGATCATTTGCAACCATCAAATAACATATGTGTTTGTTGTAATTATTTTGGTGTGCTATAGCTCTTTAATATATGTGCAGAATACTGTGCATAATGTTGTGCTCAGCAACTTCCGAACTTCCCTACATTCAATTTTAAACCATATGGTTGTTGGTGCCCTTGCTTATGATACTTTAATTTAATTAATTTCATATATATTCGTGTATTTATTTAGATTTTTAGGTATGGTAAGCGAAAGAAGAAAAAGGAATCTTCTGGCTTACCATACTTCTCCCATCGCTACGTGCGAGTTTACGTACGTACGTAGGACGGAAACCTAGAAAGTGGACCTTTTTTCTAACCTGTGAAAAAGCTGAACATTTGCAAAAATGGTAAGTGAATGCCAGCGTTTTGTAGATATCCAACATTTAATGGAGTTATAGAGTGGTGGAAGCATTCAGGCACAACCTTTTAACTGATCTAGTCGTAATATTAAAACTGAACGACGGGGCCGGGGAATCGCCGGGGAATCGTTGATGTAGACTATTGTGCCTGTGGATCCCAGCAGTAGCACCGCCTGTTATCACCCGTGCTTTCCCCGTTACTCAAGGTTGTGCTGGTGATGGGTTACGAGTGATAAATCCGTGGGAAGACGGACAAACCATAAGAGTAGACAGTGAACTGGGGTTATTTTATCACACATAGGGCCTAATCAATTTTTGCATTGCCAGCGCGCGGATCAGGAACCCAAAACCCGCAGAGCGCCCCCCCCCCCCCTCCGGCCCCCCAAAATAAATCGACGCTTGTTCAGAAACCTATCCAAAATTTGACCCGTAACTCCGGCGTGGAGATACCCTACTAAAACATACCCAAAATGAAGTAAATATTCACTAAATGTCCTAATAAAGATCATGAGTTAAAAGTTGTTATGGTTACCGGTATTACCTGTTTTGTGTCAATTTTCTTGTTATTTTTGGAGTATTTTTCTGATAAACGTTGATATTAGTAATTTAGTATACACTTTTTCACAGGTTTCACGGCAAACTGCTGCACAATACAAGTACATACCGATAGTAGGTTGCGGGCGGGCGCGCACCTGTGTGAAGTTATCTACCGTAATGTCTCAGATGCTCATTACGGTAGAAAAAAAACACAGACTGGAATACCTTACCTTTACTACCTTAAATCATACACCATACATCAAAAATAAGTTTAAAATAGCAGTCCACAACCACCTCACTGAGCAAAATAACATTTATCCAATCCTCTCTTTCTCTGTGCAATTACCAACATCGCACCCTACCCTGTCCGTTAACCCCTTTGGGGGGGGGGGGTGTTGGACAGTAATCTGAAGTAAAGGAGAAGAAGAAGAAAATACTAGATCATAAATGATCACACACGTGTGATTTACTTTTATAGCATTATTTCATATAGAGATATATCATTGTTAAATGATCACACATGCGTGATATACTTTTATGGCATTATTTCATATATAGATATATCATTGTTATACCAAGGAAAATCGTTAGAAGAAAATGAATCCCCCCTCTACCCCCAATTTCAAAAGAACTAGATGAGAAACAAGGAATCATATTTACTTTGGGTAGTCCCTGATCTGCCACCTTATGAGAATAAATTTGCAATATATCTCTTTTCTTATATGATCTTTTGTCCTCATTATCATTAATTTCTTGTCCCCACCTTTTCCTAGGCGGAGAGGAAGCAAGTGAACCGGTACTATCCGCCGGACTTCGATCCGGCCAAGCACAAGAGCATCAACAAGTACCGCAACTCTCACCCGCTGAGAGAGAGGGCCAAGAAACTGAGCCAGGGCATCTTGGTGATCCGTTTTGAGATGCCCTACAACATCTGGTGTGGGGGATGCGGAAATCATGTCGGCATGGGTAAGTTTTTGAGTTGGGAATGCCTAGCTGACTTGGATTTTTATGCCTCATTTTTTTCATTCTTTTTGCATGTACAGTTAACAACTGAATTATTCATAGTCCTTGTAATTTAAAAAAAAAAAAAAATTTGAGGGATGTTTTTTCTTTAATGAATGAAAGGAGGACTGGTTGAATCAGGGGCTTTGTTGAATATTTAAAAATGTAAGCTTTAAAACATTTTTTTAAAGGGTTGAAATCTGTTATTCTTTAGTGAAATAAATAGACCTCTTACAATTTTGCAAGTTCAGACTTTCAATGAATTTTCATTCTCTTGTTAACTTCTGCTTTAATATCCAGGTGTGAGATACAACGCAGAGAAGAAGAAGGTGGGAAAGTATTACACCACTCCCATCTACGAGTTCAAGATGAAGTGTCACCTTTGTGATAACTACATCGTCATGGAAACCGACCCCAAGAATTTTGACTACACCATCACTAGCGGGGCTCAGCGCAAGAACCAGAAATGGGACATGGCTGAGAATGAACAGGTCCTGACCGAGGGTAGGTCAATGACCGATTAAGACTTTCATTTAAAAAGGAGTAAATCCACTTATGGCGTTTTCGAGTAAATCAAGGATTTTTTATTTACCGCTTACCCTTGTAACTTCTTTGCCTTGAATACATCATTTTGTGAGTTTAATTCATTTAAAAAAATGTGTATGATTTTAATTTCTGTGGATTTAGTCCCTTTTGAATGAAAATGCAGTTAACCATCTCCCCCCCCCCCCCTCCCCCTTTATTAGCATATCCCCCCTTGATAGATAGAAACATGTCTCACTTGCCCCTCTATCCTATCTCTGCATATACTGGTATCTCTTTCATACCCCTGTCACTTCCTTTTCTCTTTTCTTTTTCTGTTGCTTTTACTCCCTTTTTTAGGGGAGGGGGGGGGGGCATTGTAAAGTTTTAAGTAAAACGTGTATGTTGTGACCCTGTATTACCAAATGAGTTTCACAGTATCACTTTTTATTTAATGTCTTTAATATACACAGACAGGGAAGCTGTGAAGAAGTTATCTCGAGATGCTATGTATAAGTTAGAGCATGGCGTTGATGATACAAAGAAGCTAAAGAAGGCCGCTCCATCTCTCGGGAAGATTGCCGAGATCCAGTCAGCCAAGAAAGACGACTACGCCCAGAGCCAGGCTCTCAGGAAGAAGTTTCGGGTAAACATTTTTCTTTTCTTTTTTTTCTTGTCCTCTTACCGAGGTGTTTTATATTTCCCTTATTTCACATTTCATATATATTTACATCAATTTACATTTTAAAGCCCCACTGTCCTACTTGTAGCATCTTGCTTCCTCTATATAGAAAACTTCCCCAATTGGTGCCTGTTGGGTCCCCCATGATCCTATTTTTCTTATGTTAGTTGAGAGCTGAGTTAATGAGATAGCCATCTGTCAGTGACCTTGCTGTGTGGTATATCCCTTCTGGCCCAGTAGTATTGACGGTCTTTAACATAATGAAAAAAAGACAAAAGTAATTAAATAATTAGGGTAAACATAAACATTTCTTGGAAGGAAGGCCAAGTTTGAATCACTCTTTATGTATATTATTTTTTCCACTAGACTCCTTTAAAGCAAAGTGAGGTATTGAAGTTGACAGTTTTCCCCAAAGCATGTCATGATTCTTTACTAAATGTGCTTTTAAAGCATTTGTAGCAAAATGACTCTTTCTAGAAATGAAAGTGGTTTATTATTATCTTATAGTTTTATAGATGCTTGCCAAAGGAGTATAGAGATACATCATGAATATCTGAAAATTCGTTTTGCAATCCTAGATTTTTTCTTTGTTTTTCTAATACTAAGCAGGGAATTGTTTTGTGTAGTGTTCATTAGTTTGTGTCTTTATGCTTTAAATTGCTCTAAAGAGAATGCAGCATTTATGTTCTTATCATTCTTTTAATCCAATGTTCTTTACGTTGTCATGACTAGGTGGAGAAGAAGGAGCTCTTGGCTGTGGCGGCCAGTGACAATGCTCTCCTGTCAAAATCATCGTTAGAGATTGATCTGGTACCGGAGTCTGAGGAGGACAAGAAATTAGCTTCTCTTCTCAAATTCTCAGTTCCAGGATGTAAGTTTACCCCAATAGACCGGTTTACTAACATATTTAAATTTGATGCATACTTTATAAAGGTTGATCTTGACAACCCGAAAGCTTGTCCGAGGCTTGCCCGACATAGGAACAAGTAATATATGCAGACTGGATTACTGGTATTGTAGTTCATTCATTAATACAGTCGAACCTGCCTTTGTGACCACCTGTCTGCAAAGACCATATTTTTTGTTTTCTTTGAAAATGGTTTCTCAATGTACTAAATGTGTTTCCCTTGGGCGGTTGCTATAGACAAGACTAGACTGTAACAGGTTAAGGGAATAACTTGTCACTAGGTCCCCAGGAAAGAAACATCCATCAATTTGAATATGTCAGTAAACTGGTATATTGTTGACTCACAGTAGTTGCTCTGAAAGGAACTACCAGTGCCACTTGGGAGATGCATGTTGTGTACTTCACATATTCTTTTTTTTTCCCTGGATAATGTACTGGTAGCCCGGCCCGGCCCCCCCCCCCACTCCAGAAACGGAGGGACCGCATGCATGTTCCCAAAATCTCTGGCACGTTACAAAGTAAAAGATCTGCCCGTATTGACTTTACACACCGGACTTATGCTAAAAAAGGGGGGGGGGGTGCTGGGAACACGCATATGAGTACCCTAAATAACACTGAGTGGGAGGGCGGGACTGGAGGGTTAAATTTATATTTTTTTTTTTTGATAGTCATTAAAATATATGATTTGCATCACAGCAGTCTCTTCTTCGACCACAGATTTATTGCAGTTTAGGAAACCAGAAGTTTTGACACTGTATTCCAGAATGTTGATTCAAGTTTTTCATGGTCATTTTCTCACTTCTTTACTATTTTGATAGTTTATGATTGTCTAGGAACGACTTCAAAGGCCTTGATTATACTGGTTTATGACATGGCATTCTTATCTTTGAACCTTCATTTCAGCTTACGAGGAAAAGAGGGAACAAAAGCGTGAGTCGATCCAGAACAGAAACATATTTGCCCCATCCACTGTGAGCTCCCCCAACAGCATTGAAATTTCTCCTCGTTCTTCCTCGTCCCATTCATCACCATCCTCCTCCTCCTCGAGCAAGAAATCTTCTGGAGCACAGCAAACACTTATCAACAAGGTCATTAAGATGGCATCGGTCTTTGGGTCGTCAGGGTCCAAGAGAAACAGCAGCAGGAGCAGCAGTGGCCTGAAGGCTTCAGCCAAGGAGTGGTTTGGGAGAACAACAAAATCCTTGATATGTGGGACTAGAGGAAGCATTGTGAAAAGAAAACGTAAACGCAGCGAGGATGACGCCTCTGCTGTTAGTCATGAATTACACAAGAGGTCCAAGTTGTCTGGTAATAGGTCCGGGAGTGCAGACGGTGGATGTGGTCCGTCGGCTTCAGAAGGGAGCGTCGCAAGAGAGGAATCTGTCTTTCGCGGCAAGGAGAGCAGAGATGCAAAGTTTGATGGATTAGAAGTAGATGATACTGAAGGTATACAAGGGGTGCGGGATGAAACGGTAGAAGAGACGAAAGCAGAATATGAATCACCAGAGGGAACGTCTTCCACACCGTCAACACAGCAGAGCCTGGAAGATGGAAGTATGGAGGCACTCCAGTATCCATCAAGTAGCACCTCAAGCTCACCATCATGCTGTGTTCAAACCTCAGAAAGAACTACAGAGAAACTGAACGTTTGTACCAGAAAATTCTCAACATCAAACATGAAAGCATCCTCACCGAGCCACACGCAAAGTACACATCGCATCAGAGAGAACCCTCGCTGCACTGCAAATGTACAGAGTATTTCTAATGGAACTGACAATCTTGGGCCTTGTTCACACAACCAGATAAGAACCTCTGAACCGATAGAGACGAGCGCAGTACCGAAGATTTCTACATGTGAACGCGGGTCACCCAGCTTAAATGTTGTATTAAGCGAGGGAGAAGTTTCAAGAACAGATAGTCTCTATCAAAGCTCACTCTCGTTGGTTTCGTGCTATTCGTCCAGTAGTGGTAGTGAGGATGAGCAATAATGCTTTTGATACATATATAGGTAAAGGTGAATTGCCGTTTGGTCTACAACCATTTCGTCTACTACCCAATTAGTCTATTCCCTACTTATGACATAAGTCTGCTGTCCACAATGTCTAATAATCATTTTGTCTACTTATCATTCGGTCTAATGACCATTAGAGCTAATAGCCATTTGGTCTAATTTCCATGTTGGCTATTCTCCGATAAGTCTACCACCCATTTGGTCCATTTTTCATTTAGTTTGATAAGCAGTTTGGCTAGTGCCCATTTCGTCTACTATCAGTAAAGTCTAATAATCATTAGATGATTAGTATTATTTATGATTAAATGATCTTTAGACCATATGAATAGTAGATGAAATGGGGATCATTAGACTAATTGGGAATTAGACCTACTGGAAATTAGACTTAATGAGCAATAGACCAAATGGGTTGTAGACTTAATTGGAGACTTGACCAAATGTCTATTAGCCTAAATGGTCATTAGACCAAATGATAAATAGAGGAAAGAATTATTAGACTAGGTGGATAATACACAGGATGGGTGTAGACCACATGGGAATAGACCAATTGAGATGTAGACAAACTGGTTGTCAACCAAACGGCAATAAATCTGTACTAAAATGGAGATAACGTGTGTGTTTTCTTTAATATTTGTGTATAGATATATATTTTTGAACAAGGAAAATTATAGTCTGCAGGCATAGACTCTATAGAGATACCCAGAATTGTCATTTATAAAGCCTTATTGAGTAGCAAAGCCTCGGGAGAACAACACTTTGAGGCTACCCTGGGTAAACAAGACATATATATCATTATTATTATTATTACCTAAAAATCATAATACAAAATGCCATCAAAATAAAATGGAAGTTCTGCTACAGCTGAGAGATACAATTTAGTAATGTGATTTCAGAACCTCGACATAGCACGTACTGAATTTCTAGCTTGAAATTTACATCAGTAGATGTGTCTATCCACAATGTAACTTTCTTAGTCTGGAGATAGACTCACAAAATTCCTGCCCTTTGATGTACAATATTCCTTACAAAAATGAAAAAGATATATATATAAATGAAGAAATTCTTGGCAATATGTCATGTCTTTTAGCATGGCATAAATCTCACTCGGTGTTGCCAATTTAGAGACTTCAATTTTTATTTACGATTAGATTTCTCTTATTCATGAACGGCTCAATGTACTGCAACAGTAGTGAACTCAAATTTTTCACTTATTTTCACACTTTCTGCGCATTTATATTATTACCGGTATGTAATTCAGAGCATTCTATATCAAAAGATAAAATAAAATGCCTACTACAGTGAACATAAACTGCTATGGGTTGATCTTAAATTCATTGGCTCGGTCTCAAACTTTGGCTGTTATTATAAAGTGCATGTGACTCTGTGTTGATGGCTTGACACCAATAGTGAAAAGAGGTCAAATGCAGGGAGTGAGGGAGGGAGTGAGAGAGAGAGAGAGAGAGAGAGAGAGAGAGAGAGGGGGGGGGGGGGGACAGAGAAAAGGGGAAGGGGGACTACACATTCAAAAGAATGGGAACATGTGTTGATCAATTTTTGGTGTGAGAGATTGGATGAATCTTGTCAATTTTCTCTCGTAATTCTGGCTTTCTGTTTTCTGTTTTCTATCTCTCTCTTCCATTTTTCTGGCTCTCTTTCCCTTCATGTGGAACTCTACATATATTTCAAGTTCAAGTTCAAGTTCAAGTTCACTTTATTCAATACTTTCATTAAAAATATACAAGGAAAGCAAACATATAAAAGTTAGAATAAAATACATGTATCAATATATAACATGAGGATAACACAAGTGGAGAAGACATGATGGACAAGGGAAAAACATTTTTAAACATGTACATTAATGAAAGTATTTGGAGACTAGACAGGAAGGCCGGGCCTTATGTAAAAGTCTGTCTCCAGTAATTGTATAAAAAACTAAGTACATTATTTAAATTTTGTATTTGTTATAAAAAGGAAGGAAAAAAAAGGGGGGGGGGATTGCATTCACACATACACTCTCTCCCATACACACCAACACACACTTTTCTGTCTGATGAACATTAAGAATATAGGTTATTGCACTATTGAGTATTGTCTTAACAGGTACAGTTTAAATTTTCTTTTAAAACTATTTAGTGATGGACTCAGTCGAATATCTATGGGTATGTCATTCCAAATTTTTGGACCCCTGAAAAAAATTGTATTTTGGGAAACTAGTGTCCTAGTAATATTGATTTCACTTCTTTAGTGTACTCTCTCTCTCTCTCTCTCTCTCTCTCCCAGCAAATATTCACATGTATTTCATACGTCAAGCTCAGTAAAAAAATAACTTCTCACAAAAATTTTGTTCATCAAAAAGCAAACCAAATATACAGCAAACTCAAAAATTGTTCAAAAGAAAGAAAACTTTATTTTTTAATACAAACAAGTTGCTGTACAAATTTTACAGATTTCCAATTTTCACATTTTAAAATTGCAATTCCTACACTTTGTACAGATATGCCTTTAATACAGATATTGGTCAACTTACTGTCGAGTGGAAGACCCTTGCCTATGGGCCAGAAAATATACAAGGTTTGAAAATAAATTTACCACACCATAATACTGGTATGGAAGTTTATACAAGCATTGCATCAGCAGGGGTGTCTGCATTCTCTCGAGCTGAAAAACTACCCTGCAATTTTTTGGGGGGTTTTGAAACTGGCTTGAGCTTAATATCTCTAGCAATTTGGTAGATAAAGAAGCAATAAGCTTGATATCTAGCTGAAACTAATTGGAGGACCGCCAGGGAGAACAGTATTAATACTTATGAGGCTACCCTGGGTAAACAATACATATATTATTTTCAGTAATGTTATTACTACCTAAAAATCATAATGCCCAACTCGAACAAAGGAAATTAAGTTTGGAACTGTTACAGCTGAGAGATACGATTTAGTACTGAGATTCCAGAACCTCATCATAGCGCATACTGAATTGCTTGCTTGAAATTTACAAGAGAAGATGTGTCTGTCCACAACGTCTCGGTCACAAAACAAAAATGGAAAACCAGGACATTAATGCAAAGGAAAATAAAGGCTCGTTCAGAATTGGTGCGTTAAAACCACTGCAAGGAAGGCCCCGACTTTTTAACATTTAAGTGAGCGGCAACCACGCAACCAAGGACTTGCGCATGTTCACCAAGCTCTATGTTATAAGATATAAACAGAAATGTGAAGGGTATTACACTTTATGTATTTAAAAAAACAGTGGTTTTGCCAACGTCATATCTAAACAAGCCCTCTTTTTTCTTAAAGGAATATTTCTTTTTACTTGACCACCTACCGGTACTGTTTTACTTACAGGTCAATGCACCTTTTTTTCTCTATTTTTTTTTTGGGGGGGGGTGGGGGGCTATGGTGACAAAGATCCATTTAAGGTGCTTAGGACACAAGCACTGAAAGCATTAACTGCATGAAATATTTCTTTAAATAAATAGATTTGTAGGTCATGGTTGTAATTTCCTGAAGTGCATGTACATTAAACGAAGTAGTTACAAAAGATGAAAATCTTTCTTCAAACAGTCCAAATAGTCTTCTTGCCTAAAGTTACAAGTTCAACAAATTGGCCCGAATTCACAAAGGAGGTTTGTTGACAAACCTCCTTTGGTTTACGTACGTCACGACGCCTTTTACGTGTTTTTGACAAACCTGGTTTGTAAAAACGCCTCAAATGACGCACGAAAACCACCTTTGTGAATTCGGGCCATTGTGTTTAGAAGAGCTTATTATATTCAGTTAAAAACTTTCATTTTGTTTTGAAAAATGTAATACCATTGCCTTATTTTTTATAATTGAAATATATATACAAGGCAAGAAACGGTGCAATAATATCGTTACATCCAATACAGCATATTAGTCATCAAAGAGGGTGATTAAGATCGAGATCCTTGCTTTAATACTCTTTATCAACATGGTGGACACCACATTTCTCATCAGATCCTCCACAAAACTTTTCAGAAGATTTTGTTAAAAAAGGAAAAGATTTGTACATAACCATATTACTATAAGCATCCTTTTCAAGTTTTCTCACTTCTTATTTTTTTTATTTTTTTATTTTTTTTGGGGGGGGGGGGGGGCAATCTAAGTGACAGTGTGAAAATATTGAACAGGAATAATTTTTACGTATTAATTGATTTGGTTTGTTTTTACCAGATTGCTAAGACAGCATGTGCATGCTTGTTATGTTAGTTTTAATGTTTCAAGTTCATCTTTACATTTGGTTAAAAAAGAAAAAGCAATACAATCAACATGTGTACATACATATAACAAGGATACAAAAGAAACTTGTACTACTCATAAATTGGTGGGAATAACAACGCCAAGGCTTTTTAAGGTAATTCTCAGATTAAATAAAAGTACCCCAAAAATATTGATCCTGCTTATTATAAGGGTAAAAATAGAATAAAATTACAAAATATTACAAAATTATTAATGAGTATTAATCAAAATTATTAATGAGTATTAATGCCTTTAGCACACCGACTTGGTTTCAAACTCGGGACCTCCAGGTTACAAGACCATTGCACCTCCATCACATTCAAAAAGCTGACAGAATGCGAAATTAGCAAATAAACCTAACTTTCCCCTTCCACACCTTTCGCTAAGCCAATGCACCATAGACCAGAGCTGCCAACCTTTGCTTTTTTTTCCATATATCGGTAGGACCTTTAGTTTATTTACAAGTATGTTTTTGGTTGTTATTCTACTATTATTGGCGTTTCATTCTTTTTGAGAATATTTTTCTCTTCAAGTATGTTTTCAACTTAGTTTTCTATTGAATTTGTGATCAAATCAACATTTTAGGTCAGTAGTTTGAAGTGCGGTATGTTTAAAAAAAATATATATATATATATATATATATATATATTTAAAAAAAGTATTTTATGAAGAAAAAACATACTACCTTAATTTGGAGGAAAAAACGGAATAACTCCGGGAAAAACGTATTGGTTGGCAGCTCTGATAGACAATGAACATCTGTTATCGTGAAACATTCAAAATGGTGTGACTTCTTCAAACTCCTTGAATGACACCCAACATATATTGACAAACAAATATACGCCATTATATACCTGTGTTTCAAATTGCACTTTTATCTTCATTTACATACATATATCTACAAACATACGCAGTGTACGTGGTGTACCCATTTCAGTAATATATGGTAAAGTCAACTGCTTGTTCTTAGAGAAAAGTTTGTTCCTGATTTTTTTTAGTGGGGGGTGTCAACCTTCTTGTCTATTGTTACAATCATTCTTGGGAAATACGGATGAAAGGAACAAAAAAAGATTTCTCTATGGAGCTACATGTATATGAAGAATAACCAAACATTGACAAAATAGAGGTTAAAAGGAGAAAAATAGACTGAAGATTATTACTATGAGTCCAGTAAAGTCCAGTAAAGTCCAATAAATGTCTTTGTTTTTTAATATTTTTTAGTTATTTCATTTTTTTCTTCTCTTTCTTCTATTCATATTTCTTTGCTGCTCTTCTTTTCTTATTCTCTATACATTGTAGTAAAAAAGATTTAATGTCAATCATACTATGTATGATAAATGAATCGGACCACCCTACAAAGTATTCTTCATTTGTTTGTATCCCCTTTGTACTCTTTGTTTGTACTGTCCAAAACTCTTACGTAATGATATAGAAATCTAACCTTATCAAGAATTAATAATACTACTAAATAAAATTGGATTTCTATGGCACTCAAAAACAGAATATCTTCTTTTTTATGCTTTACAGATATCATTATAACCCAGATTCATTCACGCACACAGTGTGCACAATTATATATATATATATATATATTTTGTCTGTTCTGAGCTAAAATTGCGCTAACTCAGACACAATTAATTGATTGATTCTCAAAAAAAATTACATAGGTGCAAGTGCACATTTATGTACTGGGATTTACATATATATAAATACTTTTGTAAGTAGATTTTGTTCATTTGTTTCTTTCGAAGAGGTATTAAGTGAACACAGAAGCACCTGTAGACACGTTGGAACACATCAAAGCACAGAATACTGACGACGAGTGTAGAAAGTGCAGTCACATTGTTTGTACTCTTTAACCGTACTGTTTAAGGTTGTTGCTGATTCCAAAGACATCCCTGAAGATCGGCAGCATGTGCGCATGGATTATAGTCCCTTCCGACTCCCTTCCGAGACAACAGGTGGGTGTTTCACAAAGCCCTTTTTCAATGACAAATGACAAATATTAGTGACAAATCTGCTGATAACCAATCAGAAGCAAGGATTTCAGTAGCTTATAACAAAAACTGTCA